GGTTGAGCTCCTCCGAGAGGCGCGGGGGGCCCGGGGGTCAAGCTGCTGCTGCTGCGGGTGCAGATCTGGTTGTACCGGCCCGGCTGGTGCTGCTGGTCCAGGATCGCATGATGGAGCGGATTCATGTGTCCTCGGAGGTCAGCGGACAGGTAAACACAGACCGAAATGTTCAAAGGAATCCGAGCTGTGCGCGTGCTTCTGGCGCCTTCACGACCCTGGGGTCTGGCTTTTGTCTCTGGAGCCAAAACACAAGGAAATCCCACATTTTAATCAAAAATATTCGGCTTTTATTTTGTAATTTTCAAAAACAAACTCGCGGGTCCAAACACCCAAAAACCACCACAACACCCCCGCCTCATCCACACGTAGCGCCCCCTCACATATTCCGGCTTTTATATCCCGGGTAGTAACGAACGTGGTTCTGGACGGAGGACCAGGCGTGAACCGGCTCCGGATCGGGAGACTGCAGCGACTCCGGCGGTTCAGATGATCTGTGTCTGAGGAGGAGGTGCAGGGAATAAAATAAACCTCGGTGGTGGTGGGGTGGGATGGGGTTGGGGGTTGGGGTGTTTGCTTCTTCGCAAGAAAATGAACGAAAATGAAAATTTCACTCCGAGTAGTCAGATTGGTGAAGATGCATCACCCGCTTTATCTACACCTGCAACTGCTTATGTCAGGATCGAGCTGTCGTGAAATGCAACAGACAACCTGTATCCCAGCTAAAATATTTCTTACATTTGAGAAAATTATAACCGAACAGTGAGCGGCCGCAGCACAGACTATGTAGCAGGACTGACTGGGACTTCCGCAGGGTATCTTTTATTTAGTGTTGACTGTGTGAAACAAACTCTACAAGTTCTATATGAAAGAGTGGTATCTCTTCCTTCCCGTGGGCTGGTATTCAACAATAATAGACGATCTTTGGTTCAGGACCCATCTGTGTAACACCGTACCCCCGAGAAATACAAGGATGCTAGATTTAAATACTAAAATAAAACACATACAGTATTTTGTATGCATAAAATAGAAGATCATACTTATTTACTATAATTGTGTGCAACATAATTTTCTGTTGCACACATAAATAACGTTAGTTTTGCGTTCCTAGCGAGCTTGTTTCTATCCGGTGACTTTACGCTGCTGGAGCGACGCAACATGACGGCGGCTAATGAGAACACAGCCGTGAAGGGAACACAAAGCGAGGCTGAAGAAGCCAAACTACAAATGTTAAAAGGCAAGGCAGCAGTTAGCTTGTAGTTTATACTAATTATATCCCTGAGGAGGATCTGCTGTTGTTGTGATCTTATAGCGTTTTCTATATGAGGTCACAGCAATGTCGAATTATTTCCTCATGCCAAACTCCATTTAACAATCTGCTTTTTAGTCTGTGTTTACCCGCTAAGAATTCCTAACACCATGTAAATACGAGTTGTGGCTGCGGCCGTATTAGTAGTTTAATCCATCATATAAATGCTCCTTTCCCGTTGTATAATAAGGTCGTGCTACCAGACCCCATTCAAAACTTATACATTTAAAGGTTTCCACGATTATCGGGAATTTTAATATAAAGTGTGATTAAATATCGTCCCTTAAACCATATGTTCTGCTCTGCCATTACGCTAGATATAATTAATCACTCCAATTTTTTTGTTTCTTTTTGCTTTAACCTAGCCAGATCTTCTTTAAATACAGAATAATAAGCAGCACACGGACAAATTAAAGTGTTATTAATGCTTTTATAAAGCTTTATTGAATGGGGGGTTCAGCACAGAATACAACTGTCCACGTCCTGTATGGGTTTATTCCATTTGACATGTTCTGTCAATTCGTCCTGCACAGATGTGCCACACTTCATTCAAAATGTGTATGGCTTATAGTTTGTAGTTAGAGAATCTGGATGAGCCCTAAACTATGAGTTTTGACTGTATGCTGGCAACACAAACCAGGTTCACTTACATTTGTAATGTCATCTCCTACAGGCATGTCCCCCTCAGTACCCACTGACTTCACAATGTGGCTGTCCTTTCAAAACCACTTTCACAAGAAGACGGCTTAAAAAAACTGACTGATTCTTGCCTGTTCAGGTGGATTTCTTTAGTCCCCATAAACAGAGGTGGTTTACTTTCAGGCTGACTGAAACTTGCACTGACACTCAACTTGTATTGCTCAGATAACACCTGACTTCCTGTGTGCAGGTGCAGCGTTTCTGACCACGGTGGCATCTGCAGGGATGATCGCAGGCTTTGGCTCCACATTAGCGCTGGCAAAGAAAAAAAGCCCAGACTGGTTTAATAAGGTGCACTTCATTATTAACAGTTTTGTTTGTGTTTCACTGTGGACAGATTATAGGTCTGCACAGCAAGGATTAAGAATTACACTTTAACTACCAATATTTCTACTTGGTAAGGACCAATTCAATAATTATCAAACTGATTCTGTCAGATCAGTTACCCTCTCTTCAGACACTTGATAATGGAGTTGATAAAAATCATTTTAATGACCAGCCAACATTTGTTTTTATAATTATCTTGTTGATAAAACATCAGAAAATTGTGAATGTCAATAGTAATGTCCTAGAGCTCAAAGTGAAGTGTTCAAATGTCTCTTATCCCACCAACAGTGGAGAACCTAAAGATATTTGGTTTACAATGATATTAAAGGGAGAAGAGCAGCTTCCTCCATGTTGTCTTTCACTGACTCTGGTTCCTCCTCAGGGTGTTGCATCGACAGCAGCAGCCCAGGAGAGTGGAGCGTCTCTGGCTCTCCGAGCTCTGGGGTGGGGGTCTTTGTTCGCCTGGTGCGGGGTCGGTCTGCTCAGTTTCACCGTGTGGAAAGTCCTCGGTGTTCATAGTGTACGTATCAATTCCTAATGCATTATAACGCAAGTCTAGAAATAACAAACTTCAGGTAACTAATCAGCAGAGTGCAACAGATGACACCTCTGTCTGTGTGGGGCCAAAGATTTGTTCACGTATTTACTCAGAACCTGTAGGGCCGTGGTTTTTAAGATTTAAAGGACAAAGTGAAAATATTTTCAGGAAAAAACATTTAAAGAAAGATTTTCCCCAATTTTTAAAAATAAGGTTAAATGTTTGAATGTTTTAAAGATGAAAATTTGAGAAGGGGATGTTACATTTTTAAGTGAAAGCATTTTGTAAATACATGGAAATATTTAAAGAAAAAAATCAAAAAATTTCAAGAATGCTGTTTAAATATTTTGGCATAAAAGTTGGGAGAATACGTTTATTGTTATACTTTAATAAATACCAGTGCCATTGTTGGACAAAACATTTAGAAATTTCGGGTATAAAGTGACATGTTTGGGCAATAAAGATGTAAGATTTAAAGAAAAGTTGCGCAATTTGTTAATGGTGGTTTTAAAAAATTTAGAATTGGAAAAACTAAATTCTCTAGAAAGAAATCAATTTCCTGAGTGAAATAAAATTCCTGAGTGAAAAAAAAAAAAGTAGATACACTTAAAAGTAAAAATTCCAGAATAATCAAAAATATTTGGGAAAAGTTGTAAACCGTTGATAAACAAGTAAAAAGTGTCTAGATGCTGGTTCCAGTTGAAATATTTCAGGGAGAAAGTAAAACTGAGTTCCAGACTACTGATGAGGTTTCTCTCCTTTGCTCCTCGTCTCTCTCCCAGTTGTCAGAGTTCAGACAGAAGATGCAGTCCTTCTTCCCGCCCATCCCAAAGACCGCTGAGGCCACAGCTGGATCTGAACCTCTGGACTGGGACTCTGTCTTCAAGTCAAAGTGACGTCCTGCTGCCGGAGGACGGCGACGAATCCAGCCAGACTGAAAACAAAGAGGAGGTTGCTCCAGAGACTTTGTGCTCTTCAGACGGGTTCTGTTGGTGTCACTGGAGAATCCTCTAGACCAGTTTGGTTCCAGTCTGGTTGCAGCATCCCTCCACTGAGCGAGCTGAGCTGTAGCAGCTGTGTCTGGAGGGTCAGATGTTGGGGTCGACACATTGAGTTTGAATTTCCAAAATTCACACAATACTCTGTTGAACATGGTTTAACGTAGCTACAGAAGACTCCATGTTTTCCCATAACGTCTGTTCAAAAACATCCCACTGATTGTAAAATTTCATGAATATCGCTGAAACGTTTAAATGAACAAACTGTAAAATTTCAACATTACTGAAATGTGTTGAGAAACAGTACAGTTGTGATAACAAAGCTGCAATATTTGGAATAAACATGGCTGTTGTGTCCAAACACATCCCACTGAGATTAATGTGAAATTCTGAGGAAAAGTTTAAAAAAATAAAATCATAAAATGTAGAAAATAAAACTAAAGTTTTGAGAATGTTGAAATATTTAAGAAAGTTATGAAACCATGACATCGAGTTTAAATCTGTCTTTCAGTTACTATCATCTAAATAAAACATGTTGGTTGTTGTTGTGTTTAGTCTGCACTGGAAATTTGTAGAATATATATTTTAGACAGTGTCATTAATCATTGTACACGACACAACATATAAACTATTATTCTACTTCCTGATCATTCTCTGTTTATGTCCTTTGGTTCAGCTTCTCCATCCTTGGTGGTGCTTTTGATAATGTTTCTAAATTTAAGGACTGAAATCAGCAGCCAAAAAGCACATCCAATCAGGAACCTCGAGTTCTCGAGCTGTGTTGTCAACAAGGCCTTCTGGGAAATGTAACTAAAACCACTAGAGAGGTCGAGGGAGAGTTGATTTACCAGGACAGTGGCGACCTGAAGACCACAGGTTGATGATGAAGTGCAGACCTGTGGAGATGTCAGGAGCTAAAGAACAGAAAACAATCAGAAACGTCTTTTTCATAATAAGAGTTGGATGTTTCAGGAATGCTGAAGTTCACCACCGATGTTGTGGAGACAGAAGTCGGATTAGACAAAAAGCTGTGGGGGAAATTTTGGGGGGGGGAATCCATATTTACCTTGTAAACATGCTAACGTTAGCAAGCGTGCTTTTATCGCCAAGCTAACATATCAGCAGTGGATTGGGGTCAGACTTCTGTCTTGTGTCACAAGGGGACTGTTTTACATGTTACACGTGATGCGTCACCTGTGAAAATGCTTATGTTAGCATTAGCAGACATGGGATTCCATCCATAAGTAAAACCAACAAGTTTCAAGTCAAACCCCACATCAAGTTCTAGGTGAAGACCAACTAGCAGCAAGTCCAGAGTCAAGTCCCAAGTCAAAACCTGTCAAGACCATCTCCCAAGTCACACATGAAGGCCAACAAGTCCCAAACGAGTCCTGAGAGACATCCAAAGTGAAGGCCAGCACCTTTCATGTCAAATTTTCAGGTCATGACATACAAGTCCCAAGCCAAGTCCATAGTGAAGACCCTCTAGCCCATGTCAGCATCAAGCCTACAAGTTCCCAGTGAAGTCCCAAGTCAAAATAAAACAGTCCTGTTCAAGTTCCATCTGAATCTACAAGTTTTCTGCTTTGTGATTTTCAGGGCACACACTGAACAGGGGCCATTAAGTCAAAGCCAAGTTCATAGACATGTTGTTCTTTCTACCGAGTAGAAGCCTCGGAGGTGCAGACATTTAGTTTCTGGAACTTTAACCAACCACCAGCTTTTGCTTGGACCTCCAGCCGTTGTCACAAAACCAGCCCAGAGCTGTGTTCACAGTGCTCAACCAGAGTTCATGTACGTTTATTCTTTAACATGTTGTGGAACATATAAAGATCTGATACCGAAGAAACGACGTCTGTCAAATCAAACAGGAGACGTTTTTCTCTCTTTACATTTGTTATAACTGAAGTTGTGTCAGTTAGCAACATGATGAGTACAGTCCCCGTCCCCCCAAAAACCTGTACATACAGTCTCTCAAATCAAACCCCTCCCCCCCAGACCTGAAAGTGAGGGGGGTTTCTTAAATACAGAAAAACTAGCCTTGACCCGCTAAGAAGAGAGAAACTCTTCGGGTGAGTGGAGTTGTGATTATAAATGATGACGGTTCATTCGTTACCAGCTACAGTCACCGAGTCATGACTCACATGTACATCGTCTATTTACAGGAGGATGAAGATGGTGGAGGACCGTTAGATCTGATTGGTGGTGGACATGTAAAAAGTCCTTAGAAAAAGAGCCCCCCCTCCCCCTCCCCTCCCCTCCCGATACTGCTGTGGTTCTGCAAAATACTGATGGTCAAACTGCAGATGGTCAAAGGATTCACATTTAAAATAACGCTCAAACGTATTGCACCAGAACAAAGCACATGACATCGCACATGAGAAAAGAGAGAGGCCTATCTACAACAGGTATCACAATTTAAATTAATCTGACCCTGCCCCCAAATCTAACTACCCCCAAAACAGACCCGCTAACAGAAAGAAACGACCATGCCTGTTTAAAATCTTCGAAGAGAGCCAGAACCCGAGCGTTTGCCACCGTCACACTTTGGTTAAAACAAAACTAAACAACAAACTGACAAAAGAATAAAAAATTAAAAATACAAGTATTAAATATTTGTATTTAAACTACTTAAAAATCCCAAATAAACAT